ATATGTAGTCGGCTTATATATATATATATATATATATATATATATATATATATATATATATATATATATAAAAATCAGGCTCGTGTCGTCAGTAATTTCTCAGGGTGGGTAGCTTGTGAACTTTATGTAATGAATCTACAAAAATACTTTGCATTTTATATATAATAATCAGGGTAAACTTCATAATAATCTTGGATTTTATGCATATTGTGCCACAGAAGGAAAATGCAGCTGCTGATCTATTTTATTTAGAGTAGGCACTGCCTACCAAGATAGCACGTCCTCAATATATGATGCACCTGGTATTTGAATAGGCATACTTAGCGGGCCATAATGGAAGATGACCTAACGTAATATTATGCGGCATGCGTCAGATTTAACATTTTCATTTCTATTTCAGGGTTTCAAGATCTTTATCATGGCAGTTTTCAATCTGACTCTGGAAAAAAAGGCACAATCTACTCGTGAAAAAACCGCTGAATGCAAGTCGGAAGTAGCAGGCTTTTCGAATGCAGCCAAGCGAATATGAGGAACGGTAGCTGGCTTTGCGCAGGCCTCATGGAGATGATCACATTGATGCATATCAAGTTCACGTCAGTGATGATCCTGGTCTCCTTAAACAACGGGGGTCATGTCACACCGGCTTAATTATATTTCGGAATAGATACCACCCTCCAACTTTGAGGTGCGGTTTCAGCAGGCTTCTTACAGCATTGTCAACGTGGACCTGGAGTGAGTAGAGAAAATGATGTCAACCCCATCATCATCAATATGTGTCTTCCTAGTTTTCTTGATTTGTATCCCCTGGTGTGTAGTCGAGAGGGAGATCAATCGGCCGTCCCACATTGCCAAGGACAGGTCCAAGACCGCTACCACGAACGTGTTGTAAAAAAAATGAACGAGAACAACCTGAGTCGGGCACATAGTTGCTTCTGAAGCCACATCGAGCTTTTCCTTCAAAAAAAAAAAAATAAATAAATAAATAAAAAAAATAAAATAATAAAAATAAAAAATTAAAAAAAATAGTTGAGAGCGGATTTATTGAATTACTTTTGTGTTTTTCTTTAAGTTGAACATGTTTACACTTTTGAAATATATACTTATACATTTTTAACATATACTTATATTTTTCAATTTTCAATAAGTCTGTTTTTAACTGGGCATCACTAGCCGTCCATGAGTGTGTGTTGGATGGCGGCTCAAAATAAGAAATCGGATATCTGAGTATGAATTACATTCGAGTTCGTTACATTTGTGTATGTATAAATCCATATCTTTTCCCAGTGATCTCTAGCCGTGGTTGGCAATCAGGCTAGGAGAAAAAGATCTCTGATTTTAAAAGCCTATTTAAAAGCCGTAGGTCCAAATTACGGGTTTACCCTTGGTAAGGCATAGTACTCGGAATCCACCCCTACAAGGATTACGGTAAAACATTATAAGCAGGATGGTGAATGTGATCAGTGACAGAATCTAAGAGACTAGGTTTTTGGCACTAAACTGCAATGGTGTCGTGAAAAAATCCTTCATGCAGGAAAATGGATGATGCTTAATTATTTCGAGCCATATGGGAAGTTCAGGAATACATAATGTCGCGCATTGTGTCTCTGAATATATGCGCAACTTAAACCCCTATGATGACAAATGTGGCGCTCCGAGGGACGACCTAGTTAGTTACTAGTCAAATATTCATCCTATTAACAGAGAAAAATAAGTTGGCATAGAAGTTTGCTTACCTGTCTAACATTCCTGTATAAACATTTTCAGCAAGACATCTCTTTTCTGAAGTCTTTTTGTCTCTAGGCTAAGCCCACTTGAATTTCCTATTCTGAACATAGCTACAGAGAACTGACCACAAGAGAAACATTTGAATAATTTTCTGATGTTTATATTGATATTAAAAACTGATTCAGTCTAAAAAATGCATTCAATAGTGAAATTCTTAATCGAATAAGACAAATAAGCTATAGGCTGAAATAATCAACAAGCATAAAGATTAAAGAAAAATATAAGGAATAATGAAAATATTTTATTTCAGAACTTTCAGACAATAGAAGAACTCCGAATATATTGACAGAAACATGGAGTATTGATGCTATATATGGTCGGAACCCCCTTCTGCTTGTCTCAGAGACGGATATGCAATGTAATTGGCCCTGATCTGGCATCTCGTCTGCAGTCGCTCTCTAACAGACGTGCCATCGCCTCCCTCTGTCTTTTTTTACAAATACTTTCACGGTAACTGCCCCGATGAGCTACTTTCGCTGGTTCCCAGACTTCATGAATTTAAACGTTCTACTAGGTTGGCATCTTGCTCTCACCCTTTCACTGTCGAAACTGTTAAATGTAGCCGTCTTTCCTTGTCTCGCACCTCTCGCCCGTGGAACTTCCTCCTCTTTTCCGGTTTATTTGAACCATTGTAATAAGTCCAAAGAGCCCACTATTTTCTGTTACGATTCAAAGTATGGAAGTAGTTTTTCTTCTTCGAGATGACATCCGAGGTGGATTTGCTTTTGAAATTGCCTTTGCCTAATGAGGCAAGGTGGTTTGAATTCAGAGTTTTGCTTCTCTTAGATTGGTTGTTAACCAAGGCTATAGTGTCCAGTCTCTCACAATATTTACCCATAGCTGATGGGAAGAGATGGAATTACATCTTTCCCAAGAGTATTAGCACGTAGGTTAATTTAATGAACACAACTGGAATTCCTGAATTTGAGCCGCTAACCATTACTCCAAACTACTCCCAGAGAGGTCAGCGATACTTAAGTAAAAAATTTCTTTTAGTTAATTTCGACACTAGTCATTACTGTCATTCCTTGGAAGTTAAAAAATTTGATTTTGGTTTACAGCAAAGCAAATCTTCGATCTGAAATGAAATCCATTTGCAGTAGACGTGGATAGGAATGAACGCTGCTAATCACAACAAATTTTCTTATTGCAAATATTTTTTTCGACTTTTCAGAGAGAAGAAATTAGAATTTTAACAATCAAGATGTATTTTTTTAAACTGTAAAAATCTATATATTGATTAAGATTACTCATGTCAAAGTAGATTAATTCACGAAAAAAAAGACAAAAAACAAAAAAAAAAAAACGCGCAGATAATCATAAAGGAATAATAATGCAAGGCGGAAGGGAAAAAATTAAAGAAGAGGAGGAGGGATTTTTGTTCTGAAAAGAAAACATATATTGAATATTTCTTCATTACGTTAACCACGAAAAAAGTATTCCGATGACGTAGATAACAGAATAAATCTCATTCAAATTCTGTCATTATTTTTCCAACATTTGAATGATCATTGCTTGTTTTCTCTATCCATCGAGAAGAGGGCGTTTATACAGATTTAGTAAAATTAGTTTCCTTTGGTGCATATTTGTTCAGTACTTGGTGAGCCTCAATCTCACTACATCTTAATAATCCACAACAGTAGCATGTTGATCATCGCTTTATGGAAAATACCAAATACAGTTATATAGTCTCTATGCAAATAATGTATGATCCCGTGGCCGAGCTTCACAGCAATGGCGTTCTGACCATGAGGTCCGGGTTGAAATTTCACCACATTCACTTACGCGCAAACACCCTTGGGAGAGTTATAAATCTATCTCCGTCCCCAGATAGGGGTTAAATAATAGGACTTGCATGTGGAAAAATCATTGTTATTCTCAAAAATTGTTAATGCACTATTCACTCACAAAAGAAAAGAATTATTATTTCAATCAAAACACACACACACACACAAACACACACATATATATATATATATATATATTAAAATAATAGGAAAGAACAATGAGATTTATAATTCAGTTCTTAGCATTTATTTTTATTTAAAAAAAAACAATGCTCGATACAACCGTTGGACCTAATATTATAATTGTTTTTGTTTTTTAAATATATATAACCATCGCAACACTAGAATTCCCATATTTCAAAAGTGTAACTTCAATTCAAATTCAATCATAAAAATTAAACTTAAAATACAAAGTTCCGTTCCATTATATATATATATATATATATATATATATATATATATATATAATGCGTCAATAATACTTTTACAAACTTTGGGGGCAGGTTCCTCACACGAAACAAGGAAAAAAACCCTACAAACATATGTCCGCAAATCCTTCATTTTCGCATTATTAATTTTAAAGTATGTGCAATAAACTATCGACATATTGTTTATATGGACTTTTTGGCTTTGCTTTGGTGCGAGTATCCCGCCCTCAATGTTTGTAAAAGTATTTTTGATACACACTATATATACAGGATGCGATGCGTAAATTGTCGGCATTTTATATTTTAATTTCGCGCATGCGCGTTGCTTTGATTTCGTCGACGGCACAGTATAGAACGCTCAGTTGGGTACCGTGAGAAAAAGAGCCTCTTGACGCAATTTAATCCGCGCGGGAAATTTGGAAACGGCATGCTTGACAATACGAACATTTCAAAATGTTTGGGTGTCAATCTGAGGACAGTCAGAAGATTCGGAAAGAGTTGGATGAATCTCATGGTGATTACGAAGGTGTTTGAAGGGATAACTAGTGATGGCGACGTTATTCCTCCATTCAACTTCCTACACTGAGGTCTACATCAAGTGCCTAGAGGAGGTAGTGCTAGCTTTTGTCAAGAGGGTAGCTGCTGAATTTCCTACGTCTGGCAACAGGACTATGCCTCAAGCCACACAAGCAGGAGAACACAGTCATGACTACATCACCCCTTACATCTGGTCACCTAACTCCCCAGACTACAACCCCCCCCCGCTGATCATTATGTGTGGGGCGCAGTTGAAAGAGAGACTAACAAAACTTCTTGTAACATCAAAGATGAACTGAAGGCAAGGATCTTGGCAGCATTCACCAACTTAAACAAGCAGACCGTCCATAAGAGATGCAGGAGATTCTGAAGTCGTCTGGAAGTCCTGTTTTCAAGATATTTTTGTGTAATTTTGGTAAATATATCTGTTAAAATGCGATGTCAGTGTTTGTACGTAATTTAGACGACAATTTATTGATCGCACAATCTATCTATCTATCTATCTATCTATCTATCTATCTATCTATATATGAAGAAATATAGTCATATGATGTGCTATATTTATGGGATAAAGTGCTCAATATCAGAGATAGAGCGTGTGTAAATATAAAAGTGAACATAGAAGTCAACACTTAGAGGCGGCAGTCTGTTTTCATGCTAGATGCACTCGTGGCCTGACGATTGCATCTGGAAGCAGACTGTCGCCTCTAAGTTCTGACTTCTATGTTCACTATATATATATATATATATATATATATATATATATATATATATATATCATTTCACCCCAAGGAAGGCAATGATGCCATGAGGACGGGTTACTGCCTGTAGAAGAAAATGAGAAAACTTTAGCAAGGAGAAAGCAAAATAAAATACCAAGTTTTAAGAAGACAGAAGATGCTGATTGACATTGGATTTCTATTTTTGTAGATCGTCGCTGGCAGAGAAGCAAGAAATGGGAAAGAAATTCCACAATCGAGAAAAGAAAGTATTCGATTGCATCTCCTTAATCTAACAGGAAAACGGTAAGTTCTAGTTGCCAATCTAGGAGCCTGTTTAACTTCATGAACGTCGTGGGACCAAAGAGATAAGTTCTTCGGAATAATTACCATGAAAATATTCGCAGAAAGGACAGATAGAAGAAACGTCACGCCGGTGGGAAAGTGACTGAAGTCGAAATGCCAGGTCAGGATAGATTACATTACAGAGAATTCTTTCAATTTTGTCAAGAATCTCTAGATATATGGTACGAGCAGCAGACCAGATATGGATGCACCATATAATGGACGAATTGGTAGATTTATAAATGTGCCAGATGGACTCTGACGAGAGAAATAGCTTCTGGGAAACCAAATGATTGCAAGATCTGTTCCTGCATCACACGGGGTGATTTTAGTACATACTACAGTCTGAATTTAAGCCACCTCATTTAAAACACTTTTCCTTTGTTTCTCATTAAGAGATAACCTGGAAAAAGTAGATAAAGCTATTTATGGTTTGTAGAGGGAATGTTTTACATTTTTTTATATATGAAATAACAAGGCATTTTATATGAAGATAGTTTGTAGTTAAATTATTTATTACTACCCGTAAACTTATATTTATTGTACGTGTACTCAAAGTCTATCTTTAAATGTGAGTCCCTTGGTTTTCCTTGAGGTTGGTTACACATTTTATCTGTCGGTGTTATGATTTAAAAGGCTGCATCTTTTGGGCGCCAGATCTTGTCGTAGTAACGCTTTTATTTGCTGGCACCCTGCCTCGGCGGCGTCCATCAGGAAAAAATGAGCGATTTTTTTTACACTTGGCGTGAATCTCGAAATTTCGAGGGCTCTTTCATAAGCGGGGTACAGTGAATTGACATCTTTGTTCCATATCTGCTGGGCGGAGGCGAAATAAGAAAATATCGTTAGAATATTCATATCTTTATACTTGAGAACTTCTTCCTTCTTCTCTTCATCTTTCACATTTATTCCTTTCTTCATTTTATTATACATTCTTCTTTTATCAGGATGATGGTGATCACGACTCTCCACATCTTCCTGTCCATCGTCGGTCTTAATAAACAAAAAAAAAATAATAATAATAAATAAATAAAATATTACCAGCAATACATTTTTGCAATAAAAAATGTCGGCATTAAATAACAAATTGAGGTTGATATACCGTAAAACAAAACACCCCACCAAACACTTTCACTATTCCAAAACACCTTCAGATTAAAGTGACATACTTTCCGTTCTCTGTTAATACACTTCCCAGATATTTAAATTGTTGTACTTATTTGATTTTGGGATCTCAAATTTGTTATTTGCATGTTAGGTTGTTCTTTTTTGCAAAAGGGCATATATTGTATTCTTGCCTTTGAGAGTTATTCTTTTCTTCTCGCTTCTATTGGTGTTATTCTAGTTTTTTTTTCAATGTCTATTATCAACAGTGAATCATTTGCATATCTTTTGTGGTTAAGATTAAAACGTAGGTATAGATTCCTCTCATTTGTTAATGTTTCTTCTTCTTCTTCTTCTTCTCGTCGTCGTCGTCGTCGTCGTCGGCAAGGATCTTGGCAGCATTCACCAACTTAAACAAGCAGACCGTCCATAAGAGATGCAGGAGATTCTGAAGTCGTCTGGAAGTCCTGTTTTCAAGATATTGTTGTTGTTGTTGTTGTTGTTGTTTCCTTTACACCATTAGATTTTTATGGCATATAAATATATTGATGCAATGGAATAACCAGTCAGCCCCATGAATGATTACACTATAGGTAGTGAGTACCTATTTAAGTCATCCGTCTACGAGAGACTCGAGGGAGAGATGACGTTTAGTTTGCTTTGTGTTAATATTTAGTTTCTTATTGGGTCCATCTCCCTCCCCTTTTATATTTAATCACACATAAATTTTTAATTATAAACTTTATAATCATTAGATTTTTATGGCATGGGGCGCGTTTTGTAGGCTCCCTTTCAGAGGATGTGGTATTATGGTGTATGGAGGATTGATTGCTGACCGACGAGTTTTTATGGTGAATGCGAAAATTGTAATGAGTGAATGGGTTGTGAATCGGATTAGCTAAGTATAAGATAGTTAGTGATGACCAGCTTCATCCCCTCCCCTTTTTCGGCCTTGTGCCATAATTATGTATCTTTACATAATAAATATCAGAGAGAGGAGACGCAAGCAGGCCCAACCTTCCAATTAGTGGCACTCACTACTAGATTGACCTGTGGGTATAACTGTACCGTGTTTCAAATTGTATTTGTTGTGTACAATAAACTTTTTTTCTACGTCTCTCGTAGACGGTTGACATTATAGGTACCTACTACCTATAGTTTAATCATTCATGGGGGTGACTATTTATTCCATTACATCATTATATATATATATATATATATATATATATATATATATATATGCAAAAGGTTGACAAGCCGTAAAAAGCAAATTATTCAATCAAATAAGAATCAGTCAATTGAAGGAAATTTTCTTTTCAGTATTTCCTCATGATTGCTCAATGGTACCGAGCTAAACACTTGGGAAGGAAGATTGTGTCGCGAATTGGGGGAAGACCTCCCTACTTTAAAAATCAGCATTTGGGATTTTTTTCTTCTTTTCTACTTGTTCTTGAACACCGATCTCCAGCGCGATTGGAAAATACGTTACTATTTCAGTGACAAAGCAGACCAAACCTCCGGAGGATCGTCTTAATTCTCGAGCAGTCATTTCTCGTGAGAGCTGGTGTAAACTCGAGATGGTTATGTCTATTTTTAGAGCCGAATCAAGCAAAGCGTAGACGCTAACAATGTTTTCCCAGCCACACAGAGAAGCATGCAACATGTGCTTCACTTTCGCAAATGTGAAAGAGATTCAGTTTTACGGCTCGCGAGAAGTCTGTTGCCGATTCAGTCAGTCAGATACGGATAAGGTGAAAGGTGATTAAATTCAAAATTGTTTAGAGAATCGACAAAAGATTTCCAGACGTTTAAGAATTGCAGAAAAGGTCAAGAGGTTCCAACTTCTCTTTTCTCTCCCACTCCACTGCTGAGCAATTACACAGAGAAACTGGGTGGGAATAAGTCACTATCCAGAGGCCACCCACACTTAAGAAGAAGAAAAAATGAAGTAGGAGGAGGAGAAGAAAAAAGGAAGTTGGAGGAGAAGAAGAAAAAAAAAGGAAATAGGAGGAGAAGAAGAAAAAAAGGAATAAAAAGAAGGAGGAGAAGAAGAAAAAAGGAATAAAAAGAAGGAGGAGAAGAAGAAAAAAGAAAAAAAGGAGGAGGAGAAGAAAAAGAAGCAGCAGAAGGAAAGGCTCTGTTATCCACTAACGCTCAAATTAATTTTTTCTTAATTGATTTATGATTCTCCATAAGTAAATAATTTTCAGTTTTTAAATTTTGTCTAAATCAACAGTTTCCAATTTTCTAAAGCGTCGATACAAGCAGGAAGGAAACAGAAAAAAAAAATCCAAAAAAACTCTACGTTAAACCATTTGTTTTGACACGCCGAGGACACTTGTGTGTCATTTTGAATCCGTGGGGTGGGGAAGAACTTTTGCGTTTTCTTTTTTTTTTTTTTACTTAAATAAATTTAGAATTCAGTGAGAAAAATAGACACTTCTAAAAGAATAGAAGAAAACTATAGTAAGATTTAAATTAGGATCTATTTATTAGATATGTATTTCACGGGCAACTTTTATTAATACAAGTCTAATTAAACGTCATAGACAAGGAATATTGCTATTGTTGAAGAAATATTGGTTCATAGAAGAGCGAATACTTTGGCGTTCCTCCAAACAAGTGAGTAAGAATGAATATACACGCAATTACGTACAATTAGCAAGAATATATTTTATTGCCTGAGCAAACTAAATTGAAAGAATACAGAAGCAGGCAAATGAAGATACATCTTTATTGTATATACACGTGCATGAAGTTCAAAGGAAAGAGCGGGAGAGGTTTATGGCCACATCACGATGAAACACCGGTTCCCCTACGATTCCTGAAGTTAAAGCAACATCGAGTCTGGTCAGTAAATAGTTGGTCGAGTGTTTGAGAATTCCAGGTGCTGTAAGCTTGGATGTGTTGCTAGGACAAAATCTAGCTCGGAGTTATTAATTGGAGAGCCGAGTTCCCATTCCTGCAGGATCCGTTATATTCACTTACGCGCAAATACCCTTGGAAAAGGTATGAATCCACTTTCCCCGCAAAGCTATGGATTAATTAGTAAGACTTGTATCACTAAAACATTACTATATAAAAATAATTAACTTTTTTTAAAATCATTTCACCTCAAACAAGGCGGTAATGCCACTAGTACGCAGTGGGTGGGGGTTACAAGGAGTAAATGTGAAAGAGAAGACTGAGAATAGGGAGGACAAAAGATGAATTCAAGAAGACAGAAGATGGCGATTGATGTTGTATTTAAATCTTTGAAGATTGTAGTTATCAGGGAAGCACGTAAACAGAATGGAATTCCACAAGTGGGAAGTGCGAGAAAAAAACTGTTGGAATAGAAGTGGAAGTTGCATTTAACTATTTCAGTACTAAAAGGGTGGGTCTTAAATTCATGTAATTGTGGCATCTAGAAAAAAAACTCGTCAGAGCAGTTGACATGAAAATGTTGAGAAGAAAGATGGAAATCACGTGGATGAGAAACTGAAGTCGAGATCCCTGGCCAGGATCGATTACATTACAGATCCTTCTTTGGATCTTATCAAGAATCTCGAGGTGTGCAACAGGAGCTCAAGACCAGAAATAGTAACGATGTTCAATTCACGGACGAATGGTTGGTTTGTAAATGTGCAAGATGGATTCTTACGAGAAAAGAATTCTGGTACGATACAGTGAACCAACTTTCCTTTCGCTAGATGCAGCTTTTGATTCAATATAGTCACTCCACTTCAGTGGAAAACGTGAGGCCAAGAATGCTTAGTGCGTTGCTTTCCTGGAGTCAAGCGTCAGCCATGCACATACAAGTAGAAATTTTTATTTGTTGTTTTCTCAGGATTATTCGATATGGCGGTGTGTGGTCAAGTATATTTCTGGCATTACATGTTGTTTACTATTCTGTGCCGTGTTCTCCTGAGTACCAATGGTCTCCTAGAGGTCATGGGGTCGTGGTACATCTTATCTTTCTTTTTATTTTAATCGCGATCACCTCAAGCAAGACAGTAAAGCCACTAAGACACAATGAGTTACTGTGAAAGTAATGTTTCTGTTTTCTAATTCTAAGCAGCGATAAAAATAGAAGAGTAATCAGGAAGACAATAAATAAAGATTGTCATTTCATTTAAATTTTTGAACTAGAAATCCTGGAGCTGGAAGGTGCGATAGAAAAGAAACTGTTAGCATAGAACTTACGGTTACATTTAGCCAATTCAATTTAGTACTGCGCTTAAATTCATAAAGTCTTGGTACCATAGTGAAAATTGTACAATTGCCATGAAAGTATTTATAGAAAAGGCACATGCGAGCAACTTTACGGCGGCGGGAAAGTGACTGAAGCCGAGATGCCAGGTCAGGATCAATAATAGTACTGATTCATCTTTGGATTTTATCAAGGATCTCTAGATATATAGCAGAAGCACTGGATCATATGACTCAGCACTATTCGAAGCATGGACGAATGGTAAACTTATAGATATGTAAGATAGATTCTTGAGAGAAAAATTGTCCAGCACGACACAGTGAACCTACTTCCTTAACAGCTGACCTAGGAATAGATTCAATATAGATATTTCACTTCATGTCAGCCGAGAATATTAGCTCTAGAAGGCGCAACAAGTCACTCACCTGGAGATCAACATGTAAGAAGATAGATTCATACCTTTTCCAACGGCATTAGTGCTATGACAACGAAACAGACTTGATTAAGACTTTGAACTTGGCATTCCGATTCCACTTTTCGCGCTTGTAACAGTCATGCTACGCGCACAGCCATGTTTGTTATAGTTACTTGGCTAATATCTCGCAAGCCATTATGCAACGATTCACTGGCTGTCGTCTTATTTTGACTATATGCTAAAGTAAAGGTAATAAAAATCAATTTCTTGCACTTGTTATTGTGTGATGATTGAAACGTTAATATCTCACAAGTAATTAACAGTAAATTCGAACTTGTATGGATCCATTATTATTACAAGCATTGTTTCAGACATTTGAATACTGGCATAGGTATTTTAGCCGCTTCCGTATAGGTAAACATTCAGCAATCATTGACCGTGCCAGTGTTAATTTTCTTCACTCTCTGGGCATCGTGCTGGGATCAAACTGTAGAATCAGTTCATCTAATCCCTAGTGACAATATTAACCGATTAATCTTCAACTGCAGAATATCTACCATCCGCCTCACGCGGTCAGATGTGGCACGAGGTCGAATTTAATGTGGAGTATCCGAGCCCGTAGGCTCGGCCAAAAATTCCCCGTCGACCCCGTATAAAACGGGGTCGGTTAGCTGTTTCCCGATACGAGACTCTGCCCTTCTAACCCTACCTTGTTTGGGGATCCTCTCTGCCCGGAGGCAGAGAGTTTGACCAGCACAGATTACGAATCTTCAACTGCAGATCAACATACAGTATTTACTACTGTATTTATGTGAATGGGGACATACCCATTATCGTCCGTAAGTATGCTACAACACAATGCTTACCCAGTAAATTTCGTAAAACAATGTGTTCAAGACACTGTTTTGTGGTTTCAAATCAATTATAAGGTTAGTAAAAACAAAGTTAGCGTACCAATTATTCTTTGACGATTAATACATTAGCACCTTGCAAGCCATTGACAGTAAGTATCGGCTGCTTGTGGCCCTCGAGTCAAATAAAGGAAGCTTTAGAAATACCTACAAAAGACGATTGGCAAATGAAGTGACGAATATCAATTCCAAGTGAAGATTCTGAAGAGGCAACATTGCATTGGATCGATGCAGGTTTAGCTTCGAGGTCAGTGCGACGGAGCCAAATCGACGACGGTTATTCCAGCTTCTTTCGTCCGTCTGCCTGACGAGTTCTTCAGGCCTCAGCCAGACTTATTTTAGGAGATAACACTGAAAAGATGATTGAAATTATGCATCAGTAACCATATTCTTCGTTCCTGCAGCTTTCTATACCGCCTCAGAAAAGCCCATCACCAAAGCCACCGTCGCTTACACCGTCTCCACAGTCGTCTTCATTTCTTCCTCCGGTATTTCAAGAGTCGGGAAGAACAAACACCTGGCACTTCGACAAAGCGAGAGGCAAAATTTGCAGCTTTTCTATCAAACCTCAGTCTGTTCGTTATCTATCAATCTTAGTGTGGTCATTGTTATCACAGTCACTTTATATTTATTCATCTCCCTCCCTCTCTCAATACATCCATTTCTGTTACAATCGGTTTTTATTTATCTCTCGTTGGACATCTTTCTTTACGTATTACATTATATTCGTTCCCGTCTCTTTCCGCCCATTCATATATACGATAAGTCTATTTCTATCTATCTATCTATCTATCTATCTATCTATCTATCTATCTTGTTGATATCCATCTATCTTTTTCATATTTCTATATCTTTTTTCATTTCTAATATCTATCTCATATTTATCACATATCTATTTATCTCATATCTATTTATAGCATATCTATCTCGTATATATTTATTTCATATTTATATATCTGTCTCATATCTATCCATCTATATATCTATCCTTTTCATATCTATCCATTTATCTTCTTCATATTTCTATATCTTTTTTCATATCTCACATCTATCTATCTATCTATCTATCTATCTATCTATCTATCTATCTATCTATCTCATATTTATTTATTTCATATCTATTTACCACATATCTACCTATCATTAGACTGTGTCGCATGCAGCAATAAGTGTCCAGTAAAAGCAAATATGCTCACGTGTTACATTTGTTCAGTTAGAGTCCGTTGAAAAGGATCGGTCTTTTCAAGGACTGGATAGTAACTTTGTCGTATTACTGTGTCCATTGGGCATGAAACATCGACAGTGCTATGATGGAGAATGCGCTGATTGCATCCCTTGCAGTAACTCTCCACTACAGGAAACCCATTCCTATACATACAGTCACTAGCAAAAATCCTACCCATGTCTAATTTTTTTATTCGATTGTAAACTACTTCTATATTTCCTTTTTTGACTCTGGTATAAATCAGAACAAATGTTCACCTTTTTCACTGAGTATTTAAATATTTAGGAAGTGTTTCAACAGAGGACGGAAAATACGACATCAAAATCCGAAGGTGACAGTGAAAGATGCTTTCCAAACGCTAAGCAAAGTATTAAGAAACTGAAAAAAACATTTAAAACTAAGAAAAGAGTACTAAACGGTTATGTAATATCAGCCTCCCGATATGACACTGGATTCTGGACAATCTCCTCACTGATGAAGATGTGACTTGAAGCAACAGGAATGTGGTACTATATGCTGAGGATACGATAGAGCGAACATGTGAACAACAACAAAGCAAATAGAAGCAAAAATGGAACTTATACTTAACATTAGGAAGCAAAATTTATAGGACACATAATGAGGAAAGAGAGCTTGGAAAATCTGGTACTCATAGAAAAATTTGAAGGCAAGAAGGACAGAGAAAAACAATGCATAACCAACCTAGCAAAGTCATTTGGGCGTGGTGTAATGGTTAGCAAACTTGTCTCACTAGATAAATTACGACCGAGTAGTGAGTTTGATCTCTACTAAGTACCCCATGCTTTCGACCACGGGACACATTTAAGATACGCTTAGAAAAATTACCATAACCTAGCGAGCTTGAGTAAATGGGTGGCGGAGCAAGTTGTAGGAGAGATAGCTAAAAGACAAAATTTATTAAGAGAACAAAGGACAGGAAATTGTGGAGAGCCATGACCGCCAACATCCTGAAGGGACACACTCCCTCTCTCTCTATATATATATATTTCATTGAATCCGACAGACCTGGTGCTTTGACTTAGTATTTTTTATACAATTTCTCATGCGATCTAATAATTTTTTCTTTTCAGATGATAAATTATATAAAACTGTCGGAATGTTCTTTTATTCCGAGCGCTTTCGGCTATACATTTAGCTTTTTTCAAGGATGAAGTATTTAACTGTTAAAAAAGAAATAGTTTGTCGCTAAATGTATAGACGAAAGCGCTCGGAATAAAAGAGCATTCCGACAGTTTTATATAATTTATCATCTGAGAAGAAAAACAATTATTGCATCACATGAGAAATTGTATAAAAAACTAAATCAAAGCACCTTGTCGGTCATATTCAATAAAATGTGCATGAAAGAAGGATTGCTGCCTAAATACACACACACACACACACACACACACACACACACATATATATATATATATATATATATAACAACGTCTCGTATCTACGCGTTTGTCGTTGCTTGGAAATCTTTCATGCAACGAAAACAGACTATCATTATTGTTTTGTCCGTTTATTGTTTAATATATTGAAATGTAATTGCCATCTTTGATAATGGCTTATGTAAGCTGAAAGCTTAAATAGGATTAAAAAACATGTATCAATATGGTGATTTTCTTTCATCTGTTAATGATAATGTTATTAAGCTTATCAGGCAATATGAAAGGAATTTACTTAAAATAAATAGACAAAACTTGTGTATATTATTTAATGAAACATGCATCAATATATATATATATATATATATATATATATACATATATATATATATATATATATATATATATATATATATATATATATATATTTTAATTTAATCTGGATTTGTCTAATTTTTGGAATCTAGTGTTAACCCAATACAGTATTTTCTTGAGTGTAATACGAACACATGTATACGAAGCTAAAGACGGAGTAATTTACGTCTTTGAGTATAATTGCGTTGATGATGACGTCATATCTGCTGTTGATGACCTTTTGGCCAACATGGTGAATATATACAAGCTAGTTACCTTACTTAATAGGTATATTAAATATTTAATAGGTAGGTTGTGTATAATAAAACCCGTGTTTCTTACGCTAAAAACAGAGAATACTGTATTTTCTTAAGTATAGTACGACGCCATATTTATGCAACTAAAGATAGTGAGTAACTTACTTTCATGAGCATAATACTACGACGCAGCACAGCCATCTCTATGTAAATTATTTTTGAAAAATTGTAAAATATAATGTATTAAAATCTCAATGCCTTAAATATATTTCACTAAAATATTTAATTTTTCATGATATTAAAGAATAGAAAGGAACCGGATGTTTAACCCTTACGTATTTCTTATGATATCCGTTTCAAAGCCCATTTTCGAATTTCGGAAGAAAGGCGCGAATTAATCATACCCGATAATTCTTTTTACGGTGTTAATTAATCCATCATACTTTTCTGTTTGATATGATTTTACATTTCTATAGAAACTATGCAAAATGTCTTTCATTAAGAATAAAAGCGAAAAAACATTATTAAATTATCAAAATACAAACAAATTTTATCTAGTGGTCAAACGTGAGTGTATTTGCAGTTTTGCTGTTTCAAATAAGAGGTTTTTATAGCCGAGTAAAATTTATGAAAACATGCATTTTTGTATAATACGTATCTCCTTTTTTTGCCTTTAATTTTCATTCAAAATTGTCTCATAATATGCGCAAGAAAATATCGTATGTGTCTACATTTTGGACTCAAGTGTAAACAATGTAAACAGGACCAATAGCTAAACTTTTTGTACTCTAGTGCGAACTGGAATTTTGTCTGTCTTTTTTGAATCGAGTGCAAACAAATCAAACACGTGTTTATTTACTAATTAAAACGATGTGATTTTTATCCCATAAGATTAGAGTCGATAGAAAATAATCCCAGAAGGATTTATATTTTGTTAAATTAACTTAAACGAAACAATGTAAATTAAGAATTCACATCCTAATTTTAAGCTTGCATTTGAATGTGGCATTATTCTACAGCGCTGAAAGCAGTCATACTGGGAGGCAAAGATATGAAAACAATTTCTGTTTATCAAGTGTTACAAAGAAATCTTTGTCTTGAGGCTCTGGCATATCGTACGTGACTGTTACTTTAAGCAAGTTTGGCCACCCCTAGTCTCAAGCAGCAAGTGACTGTCCCCCAGAAAATACCTCGCCTTTGGGAAGTTTAATCCCGGGTGCTTCAGGCATTTTGAAATTGAAAGTACCTGGAGGGTATTTTTTTTTTTGTGTCTGGACGGACGTTTGCGTGGAACTCCTACTTCTGTTATATTCCATTTGGGTGGGCAGAAAAATGCCTTCCTGGTCTATACTCAAAATATCTCTGAGCAGAAGTGATCAAATGAACATTTTGGCAAATGTTGATCTTCGTGCCACAAAAAAAAAAAAAAATACAAAAAACGGTGTTTCAAAAGGACGATTTTTCCATCAACACCGCTGTTATTTTAACTACATTCGTTCCTTCGGCAATGTTTATTTACTAGATTAGAAAAAAAAGTATTTACATTTTATAAAGGATTTATTATTTACAAAATTTTCATAAAGAAATAAATATGAAAAGAAATCTTTTTATTAAAAAAAATTAATAAAGAAATTACAAAAATAAAAAATAAAATAATCAATAAAAAAATGTCCCTTTGAAACACCGTTTTTTTTTGCGGACACGAAGGTTTTTTTCAACCCATAAAAGGCGAAAAAGTCACTAAGAGGTAATGGGTTACTGAGCGTCAAGTAATATGAAAAAAAATCATCAGTGAGAGAGGACAATAAAAGAACGGATTTTAAGAAGACAGAAGATAACGACTGACACTGTATTTAAATTTTTGAAGATCAAATTTGATTGGAAAGCAAGAAACGGAAGAGAGTTCCAAAAGCGAGAGGTGTGACAGAAGAAACTGTCAGCATAGAACTTACGGTTATATATAGCTTATTTCAACTGTAAAATGATGGAACCTAGCTGCCAATCTAGTACTGCGCTTAAATTCGTAAAGTCAAGGTAATAAAGAGGAAAGCTTATCGTAACAATTACTGTAAAAATATAGAAAAGGCGCAGGGAATCTACATTACGACGATGGTAAAAGGATTGAAGCCGAGTTGTCAGATCAGGACCGATAACATCGCAGATTAAGTATACATACTTAAACATATATAATGCTACATCTTAATATTTTATGCCAGATCAACTTTAACCAAAATCAGAATTTCTCTTTCGAATACCTTAAAGTATACAGCATTTACGTGAAAGTTCTTTTTTTAATGAAAATAGAAATTAATGAGGGTTTTAATGAAAATAGAAATTAATGAAGTTATTATAAAAGGTGTATATCTGTAGCGTAATTGGCCAAGGGTTAAATGTAATTGGTAGAAATGACCAACAAACAAAACTGACAAACGTCTATATTTCTGAGATGAGGTATTATGTACATTATTTACATTATTCTAACTATTGTCCTCATCTTTTTCGCCATATTTATTACAACGTTTCGGCCGTAGTAGGCTCCGGCCTTCTTCAGGTGGTTGGAATGTCGAACTTAACCCTTTATTTCGCTCACTGGGGCAGACTGTTCTAGTTCCACGTGCCATGTTTAATCTCCGCTGTCTTAACCGGGTATTGAACTCACACTCTTTGGGTCCTGTCACAGGATCTAACCAACGGCTTTATCCACATGCCACAGAGGAGAACTTTCAGAGGGAAATTAACAGGAGATAACTGATAACTGACACCCATTAACACAAGACACGTGGAACTAGAACAGTCTACCCCAGCGAGCGAAATAAAGGGTTCAGTTCGACATTCCAACCACCTGAAGAAGGCCGGAGAGTACAACGGCCGAAACTTTGTAATAAATATGGCAACAAAGATGAGGACAATAGTCCGA